GTGATTATCAGGTGGATCCAAAGTGATGTGTAAGATTAGAAAATACAGTGCCAATCACATGAAGTACAGCACAGAGAGTCAGTAAATAATACCATTTACCACAGGGCAGTTGGGCAACCACATTGACTTCTATTCCGTGTGGCTGCACCCTCACATACCGAACTACTTTTTACTGTCTTGAGGGAAGTAATTCAGTAAACTTTTGCTATCAAGAAACAAGATGTTGGGGGGTATTTCTCTTGGGAAGTTAGATTTTCCAGTTATGATGCATGCAACTCAAAGGCTGCAGACTCAAAAAAGACATGCCTGCTTTGTCAACCTAAAGTTCAGGGCATCAAAAACCTCTCCCTATGATTTTGTGTGTGTGTGTGTTTTGTGTATGTTTGTGTTCCTATTCAAGTGTGTGTGTGATTGCATGTATGTGCTGGTACAGAAGCATGTGTGTGGAGACCAGATATCAACATCAAGTGTATTCTTCTATCACCTTCTACCTTAATTCTAGAGATAGAGTCTCTCACTGACCCCTAGAGTCCTCCTATTTGGCAAAACAAGCTAGACAGTGGGATTCCTGGGTCTACTTGTCTCTCCCTTCCCAGGGCTAGGATCACAAGCATGTGTTACCATGCCCAGCTTTTGACATGTCTGCTGAGGATCAAACGTGGATCCTCATGCTTGTGTGACAAGCACTTTATCTATTGAGCCATATCCACAGCCCCCATGATACTTTTATTTAAAAAAAAAACTATTATTCTAATATACTAACACTTATATTTGCTCTGACTGGTGACTGGCTGACTGTGAGCATGCTACTTTTCTAATCAGGAAAGCAGGTGCTCAAGAGACCAAGAAGAAAGGCCCTTGTCCCGGTGACTCCACACATTCCCTCCAGTCAGGTTTTCTGACGCTAAGTGTATGCAGTTTGGATATCTCCTGATATTATAAGGATTTAGAGATTTCGCTTTATTAATTAACATTTTTGTTTTGCTTAAATTCTGGAGTGCACTGATTTTCCAGAAGTGCTAATTACCAGCCTTGCAGCTCAAAGTCAGCCGAATATTAAAATCTTCCATCACGTGCTCCCTCTGAGCTTGGAAATGTCCTCACTTCGCCCTGTAAATGGGGGGGGGAGGCCCTGGCAGCTGCCCTCACAGGCTGGGGGCTCTCCTGACCAGATGAGCACTGAGTCCCAACAGGCCCCTCATTCTGTGGGAGGTACAGCCACATCTTTAAACAAATTTGAGCCTTCTGGAAAAGTCATGATCTGCCCCAGGAAGTCAGAGGCAGGGTGCGAGAGAGAGGCAGACCTAACTACTGCCATTAAATGTCCATGGGAGTCCCTAGTTCTAGCCCATAGAATCTTTCTAAAAGTAAGAGTCTGAATTCTTCTCAGATATTTTATTACTCTCAGGCTAGGGGGACGTTGGCTTCCATCATAGGGGAGTCATGCAGTTGAGAATGGGATTATGGTAGGTTATTGTCTCATTTTCTTTTTTTTTTCTTTTTTGCTGTAGTTTGTCATTTGTTAGAGGGAAGACTGGACAATGTGGACACTGAAGGGCCTCCCCCAAGATCTTAGATCTGGTGACCTAAGGATCCACAGGACGTTTTGAGGGTTTGAACTAAGCAGGAAGAGAGATGAACAAGTGAAAAAAAATCCAACACATTCCCAGGGCTGGCTAGACTTATATGGTGGTTCTAGGAACCCTGCTGGGACATAAATGATAAGGTTTCCAAGTTACCAAGACTTCTGAAGTCTTGGATGGAGAAATTTCTCCACCACCATAGCTGAAGTAGACTGTTAAGGTGGAGGAAGGAACAGTCCAGCACTGAGGCCACTGGGCACAGACCTGAAACTAGTACCTTACAGACCTAGCTCTGCCACCTGCTGACTCTGCCTCAGGGTGCCAACCACCGAGCTTCTCCTACCTTGTTTTCTCTTAGGGAGAGCCTAATGGGGTGCTCTGAGGATGTAGCTGATGTGGTTACTGCCCCTTTAATGCATGTTAAGGTGGTCAGTGCTGTGGTGTGAGTGGCCAGGGCCTCACAGTCAGCTGCTTGCCCTGAGCCTCCCTAAAGCTAGTTCACAGATTGGCTGCAGGGGCGAGTCCCCAGCTGCACTGTGAGACTTGGGTTTCAACCAAGGAGGAATCTAAGACAGGCCCCAGCTCTCTCACAGGGGGAGCAGGTCCCCTCCCTCTGACATGAAGAGAGCACCAAGGTCCCACAAAGTTCCCAGATCCTGCTTCTGTCGTGCGAGTTTGAATGACTGATGCCCCTACAGAGCTATGATGCCATCTTTGCAGACATGAAGGAGGTAGGGAACACATGATGCAAACATGGGTTTCTCAGGGACTCCATGTCAGTCACACAAGGTCATTTATGGATAATGTCTGAGTTTCCTTTCTAGTGGCTGTGACAAAAACACATTGACAAAGCACCTTGCGGGGGGGAAGGGTTTGTTTTAGGGGACAGTTCCAAGTGCCAGTCCCTCAGAGTAGGGCAGCCACAGAAGCAGGAGGCTGAATGGACTGGTTCACCATCGGGAGACAGCAAGAGGATTTGTCTGCACTCAGCTCACAGTCTCTGAATATTTTACTTTTTTACTTTATTTTATTTGGAATTTCATAGGTGGGTATGGTAAATTATTTCCACTCCCTCCATCTTCTCCCATATTTATAACTTCTACTTTAATTATTATACATACATATATACATGTATGTACATATATACATATACATATATATATACACAACCTACTGAGTTGATCATATGTATACATGTTTAGGGTTTACCACTTGGGATTGAAGAACCCTATTGGGAGCTCATTCCTAGGGAAAACTGATTCTCCCACTCTAGCAATCATTGCCCATAGCTCCTCATCTACGATAGGACCTCCCAAGGTCCACATTGAACCCCATCCACATTAGAATGTCAGCTGGTTGTCATTGTGCAGGTCTTGTTTAGGTGACCATGTTGTTAAGACTTCAAGATGAAGCTCCCTGATATGTATAGAAGGTGCTATCTCAGGGCTGATATCCTGGTCCCCAGGCTCTTAAAATCTTTCTACCCCTCTCCCCAAGTGTCCCCTGAGCCTTAGTTGTAGAGGTCATGATGTAAGAATATCTACTGCGGATGGGCACTCCACGGTCAGGGTTCTTCTCAACATTTTGGCCATTTGCAGATTTCTGTAATGGTCTTTGTCGGCTGAAAAAAAAAAAGCTTCTTTGATGAGCAGTGGGTATAAGGACAGGTTTGAGAATGTGGTTGGGAATTACTCTGGTTTAAGAAGGTGGCAATAGTAGCCCTCTAGGGTCATGACCTCACCAGCAACAAATGGTTGACTGATTTCAGCACCACACATGAATTCTGTCCTATGGAGCAGGCCTTAAGTCCAATCAGACAGCTGTCTGTTGCCCCAGGTATAGGAGCCACTATCAGTTCCTCCACTTTTCTCCAGTCCAGGGCCCAGCTCATAAAACTGTGCCACCTACACAGGGTGGGTCTTATCACCGGTTACCCCAATTAAGAAATCCCTCACAGACATGCCACAGGCCAACACAATCTAGACAGTTCCTCCTTGAGACTCTTCTACAGTGATCCCACAGCATGTTAAACTGACAAAGCAGACCATTGCAGATAAGGTCAGCCTGAGACTATAGGTCATGCAAGGTTCCTTGTCAAGTTGGTGCTGGAGCTGACACTGGACCTGGTCCAAATCCACCTTGCTGTGAGATTTACTAAGACGTAATCTATGATCAGGCCATAGTAAGCTTTTCTGTCATCCATCTGCTCCCAAATAATAACATAGAGACTTACTGATAATTTTGAAAGTTTGGCTTTAGCTTAGGCTTTTCCCCAACTAACTCTTATAATTTAACCTGTTTCTATTAATCTACATTCTGCCACATGGCTCCGTTACCTCTGCTCTGCATTGTATGTCCCACCTCTTCAGCACCTCCCTGGTGTCTCCTCTAAGCCTAGATTCCTTTTCCCTCTCTATTCCTCTCCTTCTCTGGACATCCCGCCTATCTCTCCTGTCTAGCTTTTGCCATTATAGCTCTTCATTAAACCAATCAGAAGGCCCCTTAGGCAGAGACTGTTCTTCACTGTGTAAACAAATATTCTGTACCACTAGACCCCAGGCCTTGAAGTTTTGCTGAGTCTCTATAGCGCTCTGGAATACAGCCGGATAGCAACTCCATTGGCCTGGATATTATTGGGCAATAGGGAAAGGGCAGCAGGTGTGGAGAGAAAGGGACTGTTAGAGTAGAAATGTCTCCTGTTTCTAGAAAGGCTCTGCTATGCCCAGGTTAGAGCCACCCTTCTAGAATAATATTCTGTGGCTCTGTCAGCACCCACAGAATGCAGAAAATGTGTCTGGAGGCCATTGTCATCACATAGACATGCCACAGAATGTCCTCTCCTCCAGTTCCAGGGTCATCACAGGTGCCTAATAAAATTTTATCATATGTCTCTTTTCCCCTTGTAAAAATACTATGGAGCAGAGAAAGTAAAATATATCTCATATGTGAGATATTTTATATATATATACATATATATAATAGGAAAAGACCTTTATTTACTAAAATTGACAAGCCCACAATACATAATTACTATTAATATTTTTGTTCTGTTTCTCTCGCCCATTTTCTGAACGGCATGTACTTTCTGAAGTTATAATTAATTTGATAACCCAACTATTTTGCCCACTATGACAAGATCAGCTCTCTAGACAATTAAAAGCCTGTTGTAGACAGAATTTTAATAGTTACATAATGTTTCAGGGAATAGATTTATGAAAATTTAGCCAGCTGTTTTCCTGTTGACAGCTAGCCTATTTATAGTGTCCCATATTATCAGTCACGCCGTAGAACACCTCTGCACCCAAAATGCTCCTGAAGTGGAATTATCTAGTCAAAAAATATCAACAATTTTTAAAATCTCTTGATTCATACTTGCAAATTGTGTTCTGAACGTCTCATCACCCATTCTGATTGCAGCCTCACAGATCAGGTGAGCATGCATTTGTAGAGAGATTATGCTAATTTCATGATTTTAGAAAGCCTTCGCCAATATAATTCAATTCCACCCCGACTTAAATCAGCTACATTTAGTTATAGTCCATGGTTAATTAAATGTGCATGTGTTTAATAGAAAATTGGTTAGTTTCTATAAATTAATCCTATTGATGTCTTATGAGTTGTCTGATTTAGTCTCAGGCCCATTCTTCTTTCAGGGGCTAACAAAGAAACGAGTCAGATCACAGATGGAGGAGGCCGTGCCCAGCACCTTTGGGTACCTCACACCTAGCCAAGTGATGGCTCTGTCAACTTGACACAATGTAGGATCACCTGGGAGGGGAGACTCTTCCAAGAAAGCACCTGAGAGGGCCTTTCTTGATTAGGCTGACTGAGGTGACCTACCCTGCACTGTGTTAACTAAGGTGACCTACCCTGGGGAAATACCCCCAATCTATACTGAATGAAAAGGAAGGAGGAGCTGAGCATGGGCATGCGTGCATTTAGTCATTGCCCTCTGCTCCTGACTGGGGGTGGGATGTGACTAGGTGCTGCAAGTCCCTGCCTTGACTTCCCCAGAGTGCTGGGCTGTAACCTGGAACTGTGTGATTTGAAATTTCTCCCCCAAGTGGCTTGTGTCAGGGCATTTTGACACAGCAACTAGGTCAACCTCTTCCCAGCATGTAGCTCCAAACTCTTCTGACATTTGTATCTGAGATGGAGACATTGTGGATGGATGGTCATCCCTAGACTCCTCCCTGTGGAGGTGGTGATAGGCAGGACCACCCTCAGGAGAGGCAGAGCTAGAAGGAACGGGAAGTACACGGATGTCTGAATGTCTGTGACTGGGAGGAGTCCCTGCAGATAGACCGGAGTATTGGTGCTCATCTCTACACACTGAATAGAGTGCGTGTCAGGTACTGGGGAACTCAGAGGGAGAGGAATGCAATGGATGATGAGTTTTCCTGTGATATACAGGGGAGGCCACAACACACATTCAAACCAGTAACTGTCCCGCTCACATGTCAAGTGTCACCAATCCACATGTTGGTGTCAACGTTCAGACTCACTTGTCTAATGTCACCATTCAACCCCGCACACCCAGTGTCACCACTCAACCCCACACACCCACTGCTACCCCACACACCCAGTGTGCCAGTCCACCCCGCACACCCAGTGTGCCATTCCACCCCATAAGCCTAGCGTCACCGTTCCAATTCCCATCTCCAGCAACCATTTCGCCCTACACACCTAATGTTACTATTCTCTGTCACACACCTGATGTCACCAGTGTGCATAGCATGCCAGTACAATCCAGCCTATTCAACCAGGAACACTTGAGTGACATATCCCTTGTAGCATTTCCATTTCGCTAAAATTCAGCGAGTATTCATATTTGGAGAGTATACCAAAATATCCCCAAAATGCTCCAAGAAAAATTGATTTTTCTATAATCTTAGGATGATGCTGAAAATTCATTCACTTCTTTGGAGTCAGGGAATGGCTCTTGGCAGGCAATGAGGCTTGAATTTAGTTGCAATACAGAAATACTTGTGTGGTGTGAGCATGTCTCAGATTGTTTTCCAGCAGTTGATAAATCCATTCGTTCTCTCCGAGCTCATGAAATTCTGGGGTCGTGATATCTTGTCTGGTCACAAGCCCATTCCCTCAGAACTGGTCTGTGCCTAGAGCCATCACTGTATATTATAGATTTCCAACTGAGAGAGGCAGCAAGGACTGGTGTGGAGGTCTCACGATCACTGTGCTCTGTATCAAAAGGGCTCACACCCCCATTGGGCTAGGTTCCTGCCAGCATTTGACCCAGTGGATGTGGGCAGGTCCTAAGAATGATCATTCCTGTCTTGTGCCCTTCAAGAACCACTGATCCTGATTAGCACACAATGCTTTTCTGATTGGTCTGTTTACTCTCAGTGTGACAGTGGGCCACAGCTCAATGTTGCTGAGCCAAATTTGTCTTCTTCAAAGTGAGGATGGCTTTGGCCCTGCCATATCTTTGGGACAAGGGGAGCACAGAGCTTGAGCTGTTGACTCAGCTCAAGTGCAAATCCTAGCTCCTCACCTTTTCAGATGCACCCTTGCTAAGCTATACTGTGGACCTTACAGTGGGAGGGGCAACTCATGGTGATATGACATGATAGGATTATGTTCATGAAAATGCTAAAACTCTCAGAGTCTTGTCTGGACAACACTAAATGCCAGGGGAGTGTAAAATACATTAGTCTCAAAATTCCTCCCTGCACAGAAAAGGTGTGCAGAAGTGGTAGTTGTTACTTGGGGCTCACTGGTGTGTGCTTCCGTAATACAGCAAATAGCAGCAGGACTGCAGAAGCTCTGTTGCAGGAGGGTTCAGACGTACACGGCAAGGCTCCACTGTCTCAGAGACCTCCGTGTTCATGGGGAGAAGGCTGAAGAGGGTCCAATGTCTGGCCATTTGGATGGAGAATGTAGACAGGTCTCCTCTGAGCAGGTGACTACCTGACAGCCAGATGGCGAGACCTGACTCCAGATCCAGTTCTCTGGAGTATAAAGGCCTAAGAAAGATGAGCTTCTGGGTACTGCTGTCCCTTGAGACTTTCTTGAGTTTCCCCAGGCTCCTTGGATGGCGTGTGTGGAATGTGTTCAGCTTCTCTGGGTGAACTGTCAGTGAGATCATTTGCACAGATACCAAAGGATTTCCACCCTATGAAGGAGAAGTGCATGGTTTCCCCAGAGCAGGCAAGTGCTGTCCCCAGCATATTCAAATGAGAGCCTTTTCAAGGCTCAGCTATGATGTCCCTACAAAGCTCTCGCTGTCCCATCAACACCTTGCTGTTTGCTTTGTCTTGCCACACAGAGTGGGCTCTGTCAACGGTGTGCTAGTGTTTCCCTTATGAGGCCATCGTCTTTGATCCCCTTGAGACTGTCTATACACCAGCGTCAAAGAGGCAGTCATAGCTTGGCCTTCTCCCATGCTCTGGCTTTGAGTGTTGCCCATAGCCTGGACTTCCCCATCCTTCTTGCTGGATCCTTGTGATCAGTATGTAGGCTAAAGTACCATCTAGTGGCACTGAGGTGGCAGGATGTGCAGGAACTGCTGCTGTGGTCTGTAATTTAGCACACTCCATGGCTTTACCTGCAAGACATTCACTTTTCTATTGCTGCCTAGGTAGATTTGTCTTCAGCTCTGCAGCCACTCACTGTGAAAGGCTTATGGATCACCACGTGGTAGCAGAGTCTCCCTCAGTAGCCAAAACAATAAAAACTCAAGTTCTGTGGCAAACACAGGAGCTCCATCTTGGCAAATCACAGTATCAATAGCTGAACTTAGCCTGTGAGTCAGCACACACTGTCTGCCACAACCACACAGATCTCTGCCTTCAAGCTCAGGGCAGATTGCCTGAATCAGATGAGGACTGCCTCCAGGATGCAGATCTATGTCCTCTGTGCTCCCTGGCATGAGTAGAGTCGGGGAGCAGACAGGGGATGGGTGGAGATAGAGGCCTGGCAGTTGATCAGGACTCACATGTTTGTTAGGTGTTTCAACTATAAAAGATAGGAGCCTGCCTGGAACTGGAACCAATGAAGAAGGGCATGTCCTCACATATGTGGTGAGCAATGATATTTAGTGCCGAGCATAGCTGAATGCAAGAACTCATGGTATTCTGGAGAGTTTCTTCGTTCCCTTCTGGTCATGCTGGGGACTGTCTCTTCTTCACCCCTATCCATCCTGCTGTCTCTCCCCTGCAGCCCTCTCTGGCTAGAGTCCTGGCTGCTCATCTTATATCACTACAAACAGTCCACGCTGTATAGTCAGAAAAGACATGTTCAGCTCCACCCACTCCCCAGAGCTGTATCATTTGAGCCCTTAGACCCAGGGGCAATCATTGCAGCTCTTGGACCCGGGGGGGTGGGGGGAGTAGGCAGCCTGGACTCTCTCTAAGGCTGAGAACCTGAACCATTCAGGAAATCAGGAGTCCAGCACGAAGTTCCCATCACTATTATTACAAGAACAGAATCCTTGGAACACATGTACCTGGACTACAGACCTTTCCAGTGCCCAGGGAAGAGGATGGCAGTATGCAGACAGCCTCCCACTCCAAGCCACAGAGGAGAGAAACAATGGAGTTTACAGGAAATGGCTAGCCCTACCTATCAATAAAGCTTAGCATATGTCTACAGAGCCATGCCCCAGGTACATGTCACAGTCCTTTTGCTGGTAGATAAACTCACTGGTTCAGCAATTGTGACTGAATGAGAAGTCCAGCAACATAGCTACTCTCAATGCAGGCCAAGTGAGTGTCTTCCTGCATGAGGAGCTCAGGGTCTAGGAAGTCTCCTGGAAGCACTTCCTGTGTAAGTTTTCCATGCCTCCCAGCACTCTAGCAGGGCATTGTACATCTCTAGATACCTTGGTCCTGAATCATACTAAGGAAAATGTCTATCCATGGGAGAATGTTGATCTTTCCAGGAAACTTTGTTGTCACTACTTTCCTGATGGCACATGAAACCAGTCGTTAAAACAGTGACAAGCTCCAGGGGTAAAGAACTAGACATACTATGTGAAAACCATGAGGCCAAGCCTGGAATGCTGTCCCCGAGTGGGATGAAAGACTGTCCGGTGCTGCCTGGGACAGTGCAGTCTCAGATGTGGGTGACAATGCTGGCTAACGACACAAAGGGACTGGTGAATAGCTATAGATACCAAAGCCACCTTCACACATATCCCAGCTTTGGCTGATGCTGAAGAGCTACCAATCACAGGAATAGCTCCTCATGAACACAACCAGATGGAAACCATTTTCTGTATCCACCCAAGGGCCGCACTTGATGTGTCTGAAGTGTCCTTGTGATTTCCACACCTGGATTGCTTGCCTCTGCTGATTTATGGGGCAGACCCCTGTGCTCTCCTAGACTCCTCAGTGAGTATTATTTCCTTACCTGTGTCTAGAACAGCATCAAGCCATAGGGATTCTACATGCCAAACTACTTGCTGAGCTACCTGGCTTGCTGCATCCTCATGACCACAGTCATGGCCATGGTCATCCCTCATCCAAGACCTCTACTGATCTCCCTTATCCCCTCTGCTCTTCCAGACACTGTGTACGGTGGGGAAAGCAGCCCTCATTTCCTCCTTTAGAACAGGCAGCCACTGTAAGAGCATGGCCAGCCCTTCAGGGGTCCCCACTGTTCTCAGATAAAGGAACATGATTATTAGGGTGTCTCTAAATCTCATTAGCCACCCTTGCTTCTTCCTTAGCCCCCTGCCCATACCCTCAGCCTTGATCCAGCCATCCCA